CATCCATTTCGACCACCTTTTTTAATTTATGCATATCGATGTGAGACAATATGAGGAATATTTAGTATGCTTACTTCAGACTGTTCACGTTCACATTTGAGTTTTTTCTTCAACTCTTTGATTTCATCTGCATTGTGTCGCAACTTCGCAGTGACCCTTTCAATAGTCACTCTAGCTTTGTGCTAATTGATCGTGCTCAAATCTGTGTTTAGAATTTAAGTTCATAACTTCAATTGAATGAAACAAATAAATACAATGCGCTGTATTTTGAATAAAATATCAGTTTTTTCAGTTACTTATGTGTATGGTAACAAGTGGTGCTAACTTGTACGCACTAGCCGCAACGCAGTTATATATCCAACAAACCCTATTAGCAAAACCACTTGACAGCACTTGACAGATGTAAAATGAATATTTTATGTCGACATTTTCACACATGTGCTTTTTGTATCGCTCGTAAATTTTATTTGGTTTTGATTACTTTTGATTTTTGGAGATTATTGAAAATGGATCCGCGATCAGTGGAGAAAAAGAGGATGAAAAAAGAGAAGAAAAAGGCGAAAAAAGAACAAATCGAACGTCAAAAAATCCGTCTAAATGATTTCCTGACCGGAGAAGAAACTTCTCTCAAAATGGATCATGATTTAGATAAAGACCAAAGACATGATCTTCATTCGCATGCTTTGGCGATTGGATTAAAACCCATTTACCAAGGTTCAGGTAAGTTCAATTATATAAACAGCTCATTAATGCACAACAATTGTTGTTACATTTTTTATATTTATTTTTCTCATCTATTCTCTGGCTAGACGCCAATCGTTTGTTGGTTGTACGGAAATCAGAAGACTCTCTGTCAATACCACATTTGATTCTGACAGAGAATGGTTACAACGCACTGTCATCGATAGATAATATCGCTCTTGACCTTTGCTTCAATCAGGAAACTACACAACCAATCAAATGCGAATTCAAGGTGTTGCTACCATCTATACCACCGATGTTGAAAACGACGGAAAAGATGACACGTGCCAGAGAATGTCTTCCCGTATATCAACACCGGGAGGAGATTATGCGAAAAATAAATGAAAATCAACTTGTTGTAATTTCTGGCGAAACAGGTAATCAATGTGTGAAATAAAATTCAATCTCCCGTACAAAATTACTCAGTGGTCTTTTATCTCTTTAGTTGGCAATGCCATATTGCGTTGACAAATTTGACAATTAATTGATGTTTTCGAATATTCACAAGGATCGGGTAAAACTACACAGGTGCCACAATTCATTCTAGAGTACTGCTATAAATGGCAGGAAAAATGTCGCATCATCCTCACACAGCCCCGAAGAATTGCAGCAACGTCAATTGCTAAGAGAATCTCGGAAGAAAAGAATGAGGCTCACGGTACTACAGTTGGACATCAAATTCGGGGCGATAGCTGCATTTCGAAAGATACGAATTTGGTATTAACCACAAGGTAAGTTCAATTTCATTCATTCAGATGCAAAAATGCTGATTTATTACCAAAATAACAACGAAGTAGGTATTCAAATGTTCATGGACTCCCGTTATTTTTTTGGTATGGTGGCCGGCTATAACAATGATCAATATCTAAAACTTGTTATTTGAAAAAACAATGCATTGCTTTTTCATTTCTGTTTTTCACCTTTTATTTACCTAGCGGTTATTTATTACGTTGTATGACCAGCTCAAAAGATGCTTGTAAGGAAGTTACTCATCTGATTCTAGACGAGGTGCACGAACGAGAACTGAATACAGATCTCTTGCTCATCACCATTAAAGACGTTATTAAAGCTGACCCTGATATCAAAGTGATCCTAATGTCAGCTACGTTGGATGCCGCCAAATTCAGTCATTATTTTGATGATTGCCCGATTATTAATGTGCCTGGTCGTCTATATGACGTTGAAATATACCACCTAGCCTCAGTACTCATCAAGACGAATTTCCCAATTGGGTTGAATAATAATACACAATGCATTGGATTGTCAACCTCAGCAAAAAACGAACTGGTACTAGAAGCATACATGAAGACCATCGACCCCAAAAAGGATATGGATCATGCATTAATTACCCACGTGATTGCCCACATTCATTCAACAGGCGAGGACGGAAGCATCTTGGTTTTCCTCGCTGGTTACCAAGATATTGTACAACAGGCGGAAATGTTGAAAAAAAAATTCCAACGCCATGGTATTGTAAACTATCGCGTCTTTATTCTACACAGTGAGGTTGGTGGTGGAAGTGAAGTTTTTAATTCAATGCCGAGAGGAGTTCGAAAAATCATATTGAGTACAAACATCGCGGAAACCTCAATTACCATTGATGATGTGGTAATAAACATTTAAAATTTATATTTTTCCGAACCAAACAATATTTAACTTACAATGTAAATCATAACCTCTCACATAGCTTTACGTGATCGACGTTGGAAAGGTCAAACAAAAAACCTACGATAAAGTAAATGAATCCACCTGCCTGATGACCAAAACCATTTCCCAAGACTGTGCGAAACAGCGAGCTGGGCGAGCCGGCCGAACTCGACATGGGTACGTACAGCGATAATTTGTGACTACGAAATTGGTTAACTTTTCAATTCTATGGGTGCTGCCATATTGGAAATTTACGTGCGATATGATGCACGCACTCAATAGTTCCACTTATTTTAATAAGGAATCTCTATAGGTGGCGCTGCCACATCGTCATTGACATCGAGTCAAATATTGTCAAATGTAATAACATTGTTCATATAGGCTTTTATCGCAGTACGCATGGGTATTGCTACCGTTTATATTCTGATGCTGAATATACCGCAATGGAGCAGTATTCCTTACCAGAAATATGCCGAATTTCCCTGACAGATGTCTGCTTGAAGTCAAAAATGTTGGATAGCAATTTGCCGATTGAAAGGTTTTTGTTGAAGGCAATTCAGCCACCATCAAAAACACAAATTGAGCACGATATCAATCGGCTTCAAAATATCAACGCACTGTGTTCAAACAGAAATATTACCACTTTGGGATACCAGTTAGCGCATATGCCAGTGGATTGTTTTCTTGGCATAGCAATTCTTCATGCCATCATCTTTCGCTGCCTTCAACCAGTATTGGTAATAGTCAGCGCATTATCGCTGAATGATCCATTTTTGTTACCAACAGACAATTCGGTCTCAATCGATAAAATCAGAAAAGAATTCGCAGAGAATTCTTTCAGCGACCATCAAATGTTTTATAATGTTTGGTTTGGATGGTCTCAATCAAGCAACAGACAACAATTTTGTGCAGAAAATTCGATTTGCAATTTCAAAATGGAAATGATTGTCGGCGTGCAGCAGATCATCAAGCGTCACCTGAAGATGGCCGGATTCGACGAAGAAAACGCCAATGAAAACGCAATGAATTGGGCTCTAATCAAAGCTTGCTTGACGGCAGGACTCTACCGTAAGTCGTTTTTTTCAATTTCAAATGATCAATTTTAAATTATTCAGTAGTATTTTATTTTGTTGTTTAGAATGTTGTTGTTTCAACACTAGTTGTAATATTTATTCAACAACGGATGCATTATTTTTTACAGCGAACGTGTGTCGAATCGACAAAAATTTGGTTGTCTCGAAACAGTCCATTGTAATACCCCATCAATCATCCACACTATCGAAACGAGTCAACGGACAACTAGGAACAGATGAAGCCGTATTCCAGATGTCCAAATGGCTTGTGTATGGTGAAAAATGTTGCATTGGAAACCATCAGTTTATTCGGAATAACACCTTGATACCGAGTATGAACCTGATTCTGTTCACTGGTCAAACTAATCTACAATGCGATGTAAGAAATAACATGGATGAACAGGAACACGCGTTTTGCAGACTGAATATTGACAATTGGGTCATGTTTACCATTGACAAGAAATATGCTCAACTTATTGGTGAATTACGTTCCAAATTCGTAGCTATTTTTTCAAAGTTTCTCCAGAATCCGTGCGAGCAACGAACAACGGACGAAATGAAAATATTGAATGTTTTGATAACGATGGTCGAAGAAGACAGCATCGAGGCGACCATAAAAAGCAAAAGAGCTATGGCACTGAACATGAATCTATGAAAATTTCATGTGAAGTTCACCAATTTGTCTGCGATCAAATACGATGCACTGAAATAAGTATTGAAACCTAAAAAAATCATAGTCGAAATTTATCACTTTGAAGATAAAATTCTCCAAAACCACTCCAACGATTTTCACCAAAATTTAGCAAATAATAGTTATGTACGTTCTCTTTTTGAATAAATATTTTTTAAATTTTTCCGACACATATTTCATTCGGTTTTTAATGAACTTCGTTTGCTCTTCTTCGATAAGACATTTCCTTCGATTAGGGTATTTCAGAGGAATTTTGAAATTCGCCAATAGGGACGTGAGTCGCATCGAGTCACAATGTGACATTGACACATTGCACTGACATTTCATACCAAACTTGCTGCAATGCTTATAGTTTGTTTATCTTTATTGTTTATTGGTTTGTAAAAATGGTGAAAAACTTTCCAAATGAATTGGCGTCAATGTCCGGAACGAAATTAACTATTTTGAGCGGCTCGAGTTTAACACAAAGCAGTGGTTTTGATACCGAATCATGGTTTCATCCAATACTGAAACTGATCTTCAATAACGGCAACAGAGCACCTACAACCATATCAGAAGAACAGCTTAAGAAAGGTGAGTAAAAAATAATTTTCAAAAATAGTATACTTGAAATCCTCTTAATTAATCTCCCATTTTCATCTTTCACTTCACCTGTCGAACAGAAATCGAATACTTTTCGATCGAACAGGGATGTATGATCGAAATGCGTGCACGAAAATTGATCGAGATGAAATGTGATCGTTTGGCCATGAATTTTGTGACAGAAGCGTTACGTGTGATTCAAATTTGCACCGAGGAACACGTTCTACGACGAACCATGTCGCTGGGTCATAAACAAACGTTGTTCGAAATTTATTTTTCCTTGATGTACAAATTCAAGGAGTCTTCCCGCCTCAAAACTGAATTGGAATCCATGGAATTGCAATCGGTCAAAGAGTTTATAATCAATAGTTTTGTAACGATTGATGCTCATGTAGAGACCGACAAAAAAGAGCAACTATCATCGGCAGCACGTTTACACAAATATCACCTGGCTGTTAGTCAATATGCATTGCAATTGATATTGGTGCGCATTTTAAGCGGTAAATATACAACGGACGACCTAGTGAATGTCTTCAGACGACTGCTCATTGAATGGATCCGAAGGAATAAGAAACTGGCCAATTTCGAGGAACTTTTTGAAAAACTCATACAAACGGCCGCATCCAATTCACAGATTTACGATTGTTGTGGAATTCTATTCGAAATGGTTGGTAAACTGAAATATCCCTCAGACATTTATCCCATAAAATGTATTAATCCAAATTTTCGTTGATTTTCTAGTATCCAAACGATAGTGAAACTGCATTGCGGATATTTTGTTCGGAATTAACAAAAGAAATCAATGTGCTGGAGGATAAAAAACACAACGAAACTGTTGATGCGTCAGTCATATTGGATTTGGAGAAGCAAACATCGATACGTTATTTGTTTTTGGGCCAAATCCTTCATAGTCATTCAAATTTAGAAAAAGAATGTATACTTACGGCGTTTTCAATGAACCCAACCTACGAATGCTTCCAGAAGGTTTGTAAATTGGCTGCGGCAACCCAAAGCGAAACAGAAACATCAGCAATAATATCATATAAGGCATCGATTGATGCATTGCCAACTATTACCAGTTCGGAATTCCTCCTTAATTCCAAGGAATACGATGCATTGCGAGCATCAAACTGTTTGCTTGATTCGCTTGTTCAGAACTCCATATGCAATCAAGCCCATACACACGAAGCCCATACACACAAAGCCCACCAACACGAACCCATATACACAAACACAACCAAACGAACGACACATGTATACCAGCACACAAGTCACTGCGTAGCAATGACAAAGAGCAGACCCGCTACGACCATCAAGCCAACAAGACCTTTGTCGATGTCGAGCGCAAGCAATACAAAAACCAAAAGGAACACATTGTCATAGTTACTAAGTAGAAAAATAAATAGTGATTCAGTTAACAATTCAAAGCCATTGCATTTATCATTTTATTGCCCCTAAAAACCTTCTTGTGCTCGAACATTTTGGTGCCGAAACCGTGGATTGCCTCACGATGCCCTAATGAGTAAGAGTCCAGATGACAATGTGTTTTCTTTATTTTGTGCATATTTCCAATGACAAATAAGACCATAAGAGAAATATGCCTGATGGCAAATATGACCATAAAGCTCGTGATAAAAACCAATTGCCTGGGATTTTCCCACACTAATTGCAGAGTGCGGAGAAAGTCATCACAAAAGACCAATATTCAAAATGCCCCGTTTGCTATTTCATGCCTGCAAACAGAGTTGTTTTAATAAAATGAAATTTGATGCCTTTTATGCCCAGGCAAAGAACACAGCACTTGCAAAATCAATCGTCAATGCCGACGATTGTGCGTGCCACGTTCTCGTTGCATGCCTTAAAACCCATGACAAAGTCCATATTACGACCATGCTGAAGCGACAAAATGCCTGTCTGTATAGCATAAATTAACTGTTGCCATCAGTTTACAAGCCCAATATCGAAAATCAATCGTCAGATGTAAACGATTTTCGAATGTTTATTTTTTCTAAGAAAATCATGCCCAAACAGAAACCTTTCATGTCGTTACATGATTTGTGCCATTTTACCACACACATCTCTCCGTTCATGCCAAGCGTTTGAGATGCGGCACAAAACGTCCACTCTGATTGTATGTTCTTTGCCACAGAAGTACAGTCATACACGACCGAACGACCGAATGCAAAACACGAGCTCAAGACCATCGCTATGCAACATCGCCGTTGCATGCAAGAAAGAAAGAGACGACCATAGATGTCTCAAAGTTGTCGTGCACATTTTGCTACACAAGCAGCGCGCGCTACTTGGCATCATCCTCCTTCTCTGTGTGACATTCATTGTGTACAGACGTGCTCTCAACATAGCTCTAGCGTTTCGCGACAAATTTATTTCGCAATACTTTCAAAGTTCTTCCTTCTAATAAATACTCGAAGCCAGTAATTGCCCATACGTTTGTGTTTCAAAAGATAATAATATCAACGACCAATTAGTGCCTTTTCTAAAACGACCAAAACACTAGAAAAACTGGACGAATTTCCGCAAAGACCACTCAGAAGGACAACCCGTTCGCAATCGCTATACGAAAAAACTATCGCCAAAACAGCTGCAGCCAGCAGAAAAATGACCAATATTGAAAAATTAATTCGTAGCCGGAATGGTTACGAGACAAGAATTGCCGCTTGTATCGAGGAAAGCCCTGACGACCAAATCAAGGACATGAACATCGTCAAAGTTGAAGACACAATGGGTAAGCTTCAAAAATATTTTGACAAGTTCGAACTCGACCATCTTAGTTTAATCGGTGAGGCTATGACCAACGATGACGTCCAAACATACGAGACCAAATACAGAGAGGTGGACAAAAAGTGCACCGATTTGCGCTGCAAATTAGCCACCAAATTGCACGAATTGCGGCGTGCAGAAGCCCAACAAAATGCCCCAGTCGATGACAAGACCAAACAAACCATTGAAGTAAATGTGAAGTCAGCCGACCCGCTGAACAGTATCACAAATTCATGGGGAACTTTTCACGGTGATCACGATCGATGGCCCGACTTCCGCGAAAAGTTCCGTGCCAATGTCCACGAGAACGATGTGCTCACGCCCGTTCAAAAATGCCAATTGCTACTTCAAGCATGCAAAGCCGCTGCTTTCTCGACCATTGGTGGTAAGACCCTCGATGCAACCGAAGCCAATTATGCCCGTGCCTGGAAACGCCTCCACGATGTTTACAATGACGATTACCTCGCCGTACAACGAACAATGAAGCGTTTGCTCACGACCACAGTTATGGCAGAACCAAGTCACGACCAAATTCGTCGAATGTTGGACTTGATCCACGACGTCGAAGGTAAGTTGTCGAATTTCTTCGACATTCACCACTGGCAGCCCATCATAATGTTCACTTGCCTGTTCCGGTTGGACGCCACCACATATGAAAAGTGGGAAACCGAACGACAAGCCGCGTATCGCCAAGCGCAGGCAGCCAAAGCGGCCAACCAATCGGCTGAACAATCGATGGACCAAGACCAAAATGACCCACCAGGTGACAACTTGGAAGAAGACGCTAAAAAACACAACATTCCATCGCTGGATGTGTTCAAACAGTTTCTCGAAACTCAGGCACGCATTTTGGTTCACAAAATGGGCCAACAGTCATCACAGGCCCCCAACCAACAGCACCATTCACGAAGCCGTGATTCAAGTTCGAATCGCCAACGACCAACACATGACACTGGTGCAATCCCAAAAAAGCCAAAATCGTATGACCAAAATTCACGTCGCCCAAAAGAAAAATTGCCGCCCTGCCGATTGTGCAATGAAGACCATGGTATGTTCAAGTGTGATATTTTCCGTGAAATGCCATTCGATAAACGTGTCGATCTGGTACGCCGCCAACATTTGTGTGAGGTATGCTTTCATGTCCACAATCCAGGTGATTGCTACGTTGACCAACGCCCGTGCAATCGATGCACAGGAAAGAAATACCATAACACGCTCATATGCCCATCTCGCGAAGCCGAAAAACGTACGACCATGCTGTCAGTGGTTGGAAACAAGCCCGAACCAATCACTTTCAGTCATTCCAGTAAACGCCCTGCGGCGCGCGATAGTCGCGATGAATGACTAGAAGGCCCAAAACGACCACGGTTGGGATTGCAGGATGTTGCACCCAAAACGACCCAAAGCATAATGAAAGTTGTAACCGATGAACCAAATTTACCTGGCATACCACGGCATATACAATGGCCGGCTGAAACTCAAGAAATAACGCCCACAGGAAATTTACGAACGACCGTTATTTTGGCAACCGCAATGGTTCGCATTCAAGAAGGTAATAACCTTTCAACGCCCCAAAGAGCACTGATGGATAATGGTGCCCAATGCTGCCTAATGACCAAATCATGTGCTCGTCGTTTAAGACTAAGACAAATTCGATGCCATCTGCCGTTGCGCGGTGTCTCAGGCCCAGCCGGCATATTAGACCGAAAGGTAAGAATTTACATACGACCCTGGTTTGATTGTGATTTTGTGATTGCAGTTGAACTTTTCCTTATCGATGACTGGGAAGCTTTGCACCCACCAGTTGACGTTCAAAGAGTATTGCCACCAATGAACGGTCAGCTGCTTGCCGATGAGAATTTCAACACGCCCGCCCGAATTGATTTATTGCTTGGTGCTGACGTGTGGGCAGCAAGTATGGGCACGACCATATTCCGAAATAATCTCGGTGCAATGATGCAACAATCCGAATTCGGTTTTCTTGCACTTGGGCGTTTCACAATGACCGATCAAAATGCCGTGTTCGCCACAGTATTAAGCGTTATGACCGGAGAAGGACCATCGTTTGAAAATGACTATTTGTTGGATGCCATCAAACGATTTTGGAGCTGGGAAGAAGTCGCTGAGACAGTTCCATGGACGACCGAAGAACATGCCGTAGAAAGACTCTTTGCCCAAACCCACTATCGGAATGAACAAGGCAGGTATGTTGTTCAAATTCCAATTAAGCCCAACATGCCACCTCTCGGTGATTCGAGAGCAATTGCCCTAAGAAGATTTCACCAATTAGAACGTCGTTTACAGGCCAATCCCGTATTACGGGAAAAATATGTCCAAGCCATGCGTGAAGAGATCCAATGCGGATACATGGAACGCGCATGGGGAAAGCCCGAAGGGATGGCATACTACATCCCGCACCACAACGTTAACAAAAAATTCCGCGTTGTCAACGACGCCTCATGCCGAACGACCAACGGAATATCATTAAACGACATTCAAATGATAGGCCCAAAGATCCAACATGACCTTGCTGACCAAATCATGCGTTTTCGTCGCCACAAGATAGGAGTTGTGGCCGACATCAAGAAAATGTTTAAACAAGTAAAAAATCGACCCATCCCAATGGGATCTCCAAAGAATATTTTGGCGAGAAAGTCCACAAGACCCATTACTAGAATATTGGTTGACGTCCGTAAACTTCGGCCTATCCTCATCGCTCCACTGTGCATGCCGCGCAATGATCCAATGCGGAAAAGACAATGCCCAACAATACCCACACGCCGCAAAGACCATTGAATCCGATTTTTACGTCGATGACGGCCTATTTGGATCGGAATCAGTCGAGGTAGGCAAATTGCTGTGCCGTGAAGTCGATTTAGTACTGAAATCGGCTGGTTTCGAACTGCGAAACTGGTCGTCAAACAGCAAAGACATTGAAGACCTTTTCGAGTCATCGAGCAATGCCATAGTTACCCTAGAGATGAAAGATGACACGAAAGTTTTAGGCTTGAATTGGATCAAGTCGTCAGACGAGCTTGCCATTCGTGTGAATGTTAATGCCAAAGACCCAACGTCCAAACGCCAGCTGTTGAGTCAATTCGCAAGCTTATATGACCCGAACGGTTTTATTTCTCCGTTAATTGTTACTGGTAAACAAATCGTCCAAAAGCTTTGGAAAATTCAAGACCAAAAATGGGATACGCCGATTCCAACCGCAATCGCCCAAGAATGGAGTGCTTTCTATGCCAGCCTCCATTTGCTACAAGCCTTCCGTATACCTCGATGGATAAGTATGAAGACCGGAACCACCATTGAACTGCATGGTTTCGCCGATGCCTCGAAAAAGGCATATGGTGGAAACATTTACGTGCGTGCAATTGATGAACAAGGCCGTTTCATGACCACATTACTCACGTCCAAATCAAAAATCGCCCCTTTGGTTGGCAATCCAACCATTCCTCGCCTCGAATTACAAGCAGCAGTAATTCTGAGTAAAATGCTGAAGCATACAATTGAGGTATGTGAATTCAAAGACGTCCCTTTTTATGCATGGACGGACAGTACAATCGTCCTCCATTGGCTACGCCGTTCGCCCTTTTCATTAAAGACCTTCGTTGGAAATAGAATTGCCGCTATTACAGCAAATACACCATCGAAAGTATGGGCTCACGTTAGGACCGAAGACAATCCAGCCGACCTCATAAGCCGAGGCATGAAAGCCCAAGACCTCGTGACATCCGATTTTTGGAAACACGGACCAAATTGGTTACAAAAAGACAAATCAGAATGGCCAAAACCGAAATTAAAAGTGACCCAAGAAGACAAAGAAGCGATTTTGAATGAATGCGAGCCCCAAAACGTGAGCGTAATGCTCTCATGTACGCCCATCGGTTTCAAAGAATGGAATCTCATTGACCGTTTTTCTGATTGGAGTAAGATCATACGAATAACTGCCATCGTGATGCGTTTTGCCCACAATGCCCAGCAAAAAGACCCAAGAAACCGTACTGTAGGTAGAGCATTAAAAGCCCATGAAACCAGAAATGCAGCTGGCTACTGGATAAAATGTGCACAAGCCGTGGCATATCATGTAGAAATCCAGTGTTTGAAAGCCCGTGACGACCAATTCCCAGCGAAAAGCAAAATCCTTCCATTAAACCCACGGCTGGATGAAAATGACATATTGGTCGCTGGAGGTCGACTGAGAAACGCCCAAATTGAGCAAGACCGAAAATGCCCGTTTATAGTTCCGCCAAAGTCGCGAGTATGCCAATTGATTATGCAACAAGCCCACAAAGACACATACCACGGTGGTGTTCAGATGATGATGGCCCACATCCGAACCACCTATTGGATACCAACGCTGCGTGCACAGCTTAAGCAGATTGTATCTAGATGCGCACCATGTACACGTCACGCCAAAAAGACTCAAGACCAGCTCATGGCCGATTTGCCAATCGAGCGTGTCACACCATCAAGACCTTTCCTAAGATGTGGTGTTGATATGGCAGGCCCATTTAACGTCCGTTTAACCGACAAGATTAAACTAAACACTCGTGCACGAGTTTTACATGACACCGAACTGAAAGGATACATTGCCATATTTGTATGCCTGACGACCCGCGCCGTACACCTTGAGCCGGTGATGGCGATGACCTCTGATGCCTTCAAAGCCGCTTATCTTCGTTTCGTAGCGCGAAGAGGAAGACCACAAAAAATGTTCAGTGATCACGGCACGAATTTTGTGGGCGCAAACCGTGAACTGAACGAGGCCCACGAAAGCTGGGAAGCTTCCGAGCTTCGCCAGTACGTAAACGCCCAAGGTACTCGCTGGAAGTTCATAACGCCAGCCGCTCCACATGAAGGCGGCTTGTGGGAAGCGGCAGTCAAGTCCATGAAGCATCACTTACGCCGAGTGATGGGACCACACAAATACACATTCGAGGGTATCGCCACTCTACTCGCCGGAATCGAAGCTTGCCTTAACTCTCGCCCAATTTGTGCCATGTCCGACGATCCAAATGACATGCAAGCCCTGACGCCCGCTCATTTCATTATTGGTTGCCCTCTTACATTGCCATTACCAGAAGCCAAATGCAATATGCCCGAAATGACCGCAAACAAATTATATGAGTTCATGCGTGCCCAACAAGACGATTTTTGGAAGGCATGGTCTGCCGATTACCTGTCGTCCTTGATGCAAAGACCAAAATGGAAAAAGACCCGTGAGAATGTCAAAGAAGGACAAATGGTGTTGATAAAATCAGAACTTTATCCACCTACATACTGGCTAATGGGTCGGATAATCAAAATCAAAAAGGCTAACGACGGCCTCGTACGATCAGCCACAATTCGAGTTCAGAACGGTGAACTGGAACGACCAATTCGCAAATTGTGCATTTTGCCCACAGACGACGACCACCTATACCAAAGGTAAAGCCACCAGATGTTGCGGAAACCTCAACCGGGGGAGTGTTCAGAACTCCATATGCAATCAAGCCCATACACACGAAGCCCATACACACAAAGCCCACCAACACGAACCCATATACACAAACACAACCAAACGAACGACACATGTATACCAGCACACAAGTCACTGCGTAGCAATGACAAAGAGCAGACCCGCTACGACCATCAAGCCAACAAGACCTTTGTCGATGTCGAGCGCAAGCAATACAAAAACCAAAAGGAACACATTGTCATAGTTACTAAGTAGAAAAATAAATAGTGATTCAGTTAACAATTCAAAGCCATTGCATTTATCATTTTATTGCCCCTAAAAACCTTCTTGTGCTCGAACACGCTCACGTATTTGTCGGAGAATATGCGATCAGATTTGGTGTGTCTGTTGACGGTGCCACGTATAAAAACTCTCAATTGGTTAGTTCCATGGCCGGACCTGAAGAGAGAATGTGAAGAATTGTTGGTGACCGAGAAGAAGATGCAAATCGTCGAAAATACAACGGCTGGTGCTAATGATAAACTGCAATTTATCAAGCCGAATTACGATGATTTCAAAGACTTTACGCCACATGAATATCCGGGAATCGAAAAAGGCTATGAGATTTATATGGTCGACAGCGATTGCGAGGAATCAATACAATTTGTTCCGAATAAACACGATGACGATAGCGATATTGAAAATGAAGATGGCAATACGAGTGAAGAGGACACCGATACGGCACCTGAATCGGAGAAATTCATCAAAGAAGCGAAAAGTTTGCGCGAACGTAACCGGCGTCTGATTCGACGAAATCAAAAAGAGCTAAAAAAATGGGAAGAGGCTGAAGAGGTTAGACAGAAAAAGCTTAGAAAAAAGCTAAATGACAATAACAAAACAAATGGCAATAACAAACGGAAAAAGAAACAAAGAGGTCCAAAAGCAATTATCAATGATAGTGTGAAAAAGCCAATTCGAAATTCAAAAGAAAAATGCATATTGAAGAAAAAAGTGAATGAACCTAAAATAATTTATGATTCAAGAAGTTTACCACGTCGAAAATTAGCAGGAGCTGTATCAACGCACATTTGTATTGATTCTGCTTCAGATCAAGAGCCCAGTGTGAGCAAGTCTAAAGTGGCCACAAATCGAACGGAACCAATTTCATCGCGTGGAAAAGCACAACAATGCCAAGGAGCCGCAGCAACTATTCGACAACAGGCGAGCCCGAAAAAAGCATGTAATTCCAAAAATAGTATGATTGGATTAGTGATTAAACCGCCAAACACAGCAGCACGCATGGATTGTGTACAATTGAGCGTGTCGAAGAATGATGAAACGAGTACGCCAGATTTTCGTCAATGCATTGAATCAAACACAACACCACAGTGTGCTGGTAAATCGGATGGCGGAATAATTTGTCTAGGTGATTTGCTACAGAAAGCGGAGGAAGTTTTTGATCGACACAAAGATTTACAAGTGACGGCGGCTAAGATTCAAGCTCATTTCGATAAATTTCAGATAAATTATAGCCACTTGATCTTAAATCAAGTTCAATTATTAGTATCCACATATCCGAAGGCAAAAACAGTACATATTCTACGGAATATAAATCCCAATAACCAACACGAATTTAAACTGGCAACAGCTTCATTACCACTGACAAATCCTAAGGCGATTTTGGTCCTAGAGGACAAATTGGTGGCTAATCCTTTTAAGATTGGTGTGGTTCAAAATAGCAGCCCAAACATCGATTTGGCAAATCTAAACACATGCATAACTCAAAATGTCCTTAAGTCTGTTCAACCATTGACCTCTGATGACTCGGACGACTCGGAATCACAATTTGAATCATTCCATAGCTTCCCACCAAGTGATTTGATAGCCCCCTCGGTAATCTCCGAACTAATGACATCGGCTACGGCATCTTCTGCTCAAAAACCGACGAAAAAGGAGAATAGCTCACAGAGCGTTTTGACAGAGTCCCCATTACACGATGCACTGAATGTGACAACAGATGTGATAAGAATTCCAATTAGAGGAAAATATGGCCAAATAATGTATTTAAAAATTAATGATTTGAATGCCTTACACAGTCATACAGTGTTAAATACCAGATCTCAAACGATTGGCCACAAACTCCAAGCGGCACCTGGTTGTGTAGACACAGAGTTAGCATACCCCACTGAAAATGCGACACAAGAAGAACCCGAATTATTGAACAAAACAACAAACGCTCTACAGCTCCTATTCAAATTGTATTCGTTCCATCAACAATTTATGGAAGTTGTAGATGACTTGCAAGATTCATCACATAACCAAGACCCTGATTTAATTGATCGCATCAATTCGCCGGGAAATCAGATCATAGTTTTGAATGAAACCTGTATTGAATTACTCAAAACAAATATGGAAAGGCTTGGTATTGAATTGAGTCCACAAAATGGTCTATCTTCTCAAATTATGAGTGGCGTTGAACTCAATATGAACCTGAATACATGTGATTTGTCAATGAAAGATGTTTCTTGTTGTTTAGCTTCCACCACAACTAAAGCCAATACAATGCAGTGTGTACATAAATCAGATCAAATCAAAACACCAAAATGTGCAGGTAAATCGGATGGCAAAGTGGAAACGAAGCATGAACAATTCAAAATGAATTACAGTTCGCCGCCTGCTTCATTATCAACGAAATCGGAAGGTGAAGAACGAACGTTAAAGCGAAAGATTTCGCTGAACGAGGATGAAATTGATGTGACAGTGCACACGCGACAGCGAATGACGTGTGAATCGAGTGGGGCAACAACGCCAACGAGGCACACACGAAGCTGTGCAATAACAGCCGTTACCAATGTCAAAGACGATTTACCAATTGAACCGGAAAAGACGCACGAACGACGTCGAACGACTGGCATTCAATCGATTGATAAACCAACCGCTTTAGAGAACATTCAAATCAAAGAAGAACCGCAACCGAATCAAGTACTAATGAGATTCGGTAAATTGACATCGTCAGCGGAAAAATCGCATCGTGAAAATCGTTTGATTGCCCAACCGGTGATTAAATCTGAACAAATCGAAGCATCGCGTCATGGTCGTAAACCGAAGCCAAAACACTCGGTATTTGAATCGGACATACAATCCGAATCGACAGATGCCAGTCGAAAAATTTCAGTTGGTCGACCGCCACGCATTGCACCGTCAAGGAATATAGGTACACGGGAACAACCACATTCATCGTTGACTGGGGTCAGCACTGAACCATCGGGCAATGGGTGTCCCAAGTTTAGCGATAATGACACATTGAAGTATCGATTGACCACAAGGTTTTATCAACATCAACCGCCAGATCATCTAAATCGGCAGCAAATTCAATCGAATTTGCAATTGCAACATCGCCAAAAACAGGTAGTATGGATTTACTTTTTTAACGAATGTTTAACAGAGAATTTGGTAAATTGTCTATTCAAAATTTTTCACAGCAGCAACAGCCATCACCTCAATACAATGATGAGTTGTACAGTGAGAGGCCGTCATCGTCACAGCCGCGAAAGTATTGTAGCCATGAACAAACCAATTCGAATAATACCATTAAAGTAGAACAAGTACAAAAATACAACAATATAGAACCGCCGCTGGAAGGTAATTTTTTCGAACAATTAGCCCATGAAATTGATTTAATTCTTGATTTGATGTCAGCTCCAAATGACTTGAAACGAACATCGTCAATCACGCAATATTATGTGCCATCTAAGATTCGTATTCGTCGATTAAATTGTGATTGTGAACCGGAACTTGATGAACCAGAAAACAAGTCACACCCTAAATCAACTGCTGTCAATGAAGATAATTTGGAATTTTGCGATAACATTGCATTGGCCGATATGAACAAAGACAATAAAGTGTTCGACGAAAATAAAGAAGATGATTTAATTAAACAAAGCAAAACCAAAACTGACGAGATTCTGTCGCTGCCATTGATCCCCGTTAATGACATAGGTAAATTCAAACCTTTTTTTATCCATTGAATGATCAACATTATTTTGTTTTAAAAAATGAGTAAATTTTCTATTTCATTTTAGAATCGGAATCAAAATCTGATATTGAACCAATTCTGAATCAAAGTTCAAATCCGATGGTCTTATTTCCTGCAAATTCTAACTCAAAGATCATAAATCCAAAATGCCTTAAATCTGTTCAATCGTTGGCCTTTGATGACTCGGTAATAAGCGGTAGTTCGACGAGTGAAAGCATAAAACGTAATTACAACAAAAGACCAAAAACAGATTCATCATTTTGAAGATAATGATCCAGAATGAAATGGTTGTATTTTCTCTGTTATTTCAGAATCTGAACAAAGTCGAAACAATATGATGAAATCGTTGCACAGTCCCACATTGTCGAGTACGAGTTCACAGGGCCGTAGAATAGCACCAACACTGGGTTCTGTCAATCAGCAATTAACATCGCTCATAGAAATAAACGACGATATAGTACTAGAGCAACGAGAAAAAAGAGCAAATGCTTTAAAAAAAACCGTGTCTAATGAGCCAAAAGAATATGAGCCATATTCAATTATCTCACCAACAAAATCTCATCAAAAATCAGACCAAGAGCCCGGTGTGAGCAAGTCCAAAGTAGCCACAAATTGTATGGAAATGGTTAAAACACTATTCAAAGCGGGCAATTCACCTCAGCTTGTCAATGCACAAAGTAAAACACCTCAAGAGCCACCAGTACCAGTCAAAGTTAAACGGCCAAGTGGTAGACCAAAGAAACCCATTAGTGAACGGACTGTGGTGGTGACAACCGAAAAAGGCCACGTGGACGGCCGAGAAAACTAACGGCACAACCGGCTCCCATAAGACATAGAGAAGGGCGAACGAAAACAAAATATCACAAATGGCCACTTTCAAATTTATATAAAACCAAACATGAATAAAACAATGCGATGTTTGCAAATAAATTAGATATTTTTTCTATTTCTTGGAAAA